TAACAGGTAACATTCCTCAGTCCACCCGAAGAACCAATCTTAGAGTATTATCGAGCTAGGACAGGTAACATTCATCTGTCTACTACATGAATAAATCTTAGGGTATATCGAGTTAAGTCAGATGATATTCAGTCCACCCGAAGAATCAATGATAAGGTACATATAGTTAAGGAAGATAACACTCCTCAGAATACAAGATGAAGATTGTAAGTTATATAGAATTAAGGCAAGTAACATCACTTAGTATATAACACTGCTCACACAACCCGAGGAATGTCTTACTCACCTCCGATATCCACAGATTGTTCCTCTCGTAATCTATTTCCATTTAATGTATGTTCCATATAACAAATGTAAGTCCCAGCATTTGAGACTGAATTGTTAATTATCTTTAAGGTATTGTTATAATTGACAATAATATCTACATCACCATCGGCATCCAAATCCATCAGACCACTGCCATTAATTTTAACACCATTCTTTTCCCATTCCACGGTTCGTCCATTGGTAGCACAGTAAATGACTATATTGTCTGGTTTTCCAACTTCAATAAGTGGATTCTTGGGTTCTGTAACCATTTTGATGTAAGGTGCTACAACAAAGGCAAATACAAGTATATCAATTTAGCTGCATAGTGTTCATATTGCTGGCAGATGGAATGTATGTTTACTTAAGGTAAACTAACTATCATTAAAAATATATCAAGCTCGGTGGAAGTTAGTCATTTAGGTGGGCTTTTCACATTGAGGGAGACACACACATACACAAGTTTAATACCCAGTCTATCTATGTTTCGTAAGCCAGCTTTTAGTTATTGCCACCTGATATGTTAGTAAAGCTATCAGCAAAGATAGTGAGTATTATTATAGTCTTTTAGTTGTAGTAAATATATAGACAAGGAGCTTTTGTTATCATAGATACAACTAAATTGCTTATAAGGACTCTTCTCCATATGTAAATGTATATATATATATACGTTACGTTAAATAGCAATGTCACCCTTGTTGACATATGTGAGTTGTCTTGTGTATTAAATGATTAATATATACAAAAGCTCTATTTAGAGCTAAATTCTTTTCAGTTGAATACTGGACCATGCAGGAAAAGGCAAGTGTTGTCAAGCTATATTTTTGAAATTGAATTAAAGAACAGTGCACACCGAGATGATATTGTGGATGTTGTGCTGCAGTCTGGTCCAAGATGGCGAATTTCTCAATCACTCATGATGTAGCTATTAGGCTGGGAGAATCGGTAGAGACAGCTGGTGAAATGCTTTGGTGAATGAATTATAGAATCCAATTTCAGGCTACGTAGAGTGATATCCACCATGAACCGGTGTAGAATATGAAATGTAGTCATTGTCATTATGATTTAGGAATTTCCATTATGTGTTGTTTAGGTGATTGCAATTAAATTTAGAAGCACATTTGAATTTGTAATGATTCTAAGAAAATTGCCAAATCGTCCATTCATTAAAAGCCTTTCAACAATCATTAACCTATTGACAATACTTACGTTGATATACAAATAATTGGGCAGATAATGATACCGGTAAACTATATTCCGAGTCTTGACACATGTACTCGGCAGTATCACGATTTAAATCCAAATTACTAATCTTTAAAACACTAATGGTCATAGCATCTGCTCTTGTTGTTGTTATATCAATGTAATCCAGAGTAGGTTGTAAAAGTATCAACCCTGTTTCGTCTCTTAGTTCTTTCCACCAGATGATATCCGTTTCAGCCATAATCGTACATTGAAATTCAACACTGCCTCCAATAACTATATAGGCTTCAGTGGGCACAATCAATATGTCTGAAAAAGTAAACAAATCAACGAAGAAGTTCAGCGTGGTCTATGCTGTATAAGTATACATCGATAATCATAGCCATATCGCCTTATCATCCAAACTAGCGTGATTGGGTCATGGCACTTGCCAAAACAGACTAGTTTAGCTTTATTATATCAAGAGCTTTAATGAATATTGAATTTACAATTCGAAAAAATAAGATACGCTTGATTGCTCTCGATTTTCAGTTGGACATTTTGTTCTCAGACAATGATCCTAAATTTTGTAATCCTTAAATGAGTGAAATATCATTGTTGCAACAGTAATACTAAAAAGTGTTATCAAAGTAAGAACGTATTGGTGGAACTTATTATGTTCAAATCTTCGCAAGTTAGAGTAAAACGCCGGGTGTTAGATAATGACTATAGTTTGTATAATCATTTCTCTAAGAATGTACAACTTGCAAAAAAACAGCCTTCTCGTAAGAGAAGGTGGGAGCAGAACCACCAATTTTTACTAATCCCTCTACAAAGTAGTTAATATGTTACTGTGGCAACGAGTATATTGAAGTATCTATCACATATGGTTAAGACGTTAACTAAAATAAATGGATTACCCTCGTGCAAAATATCTGGTTGTATTACATCAAAATTTCCATCACAGATGGTTAACCGAAAATATTCCACTGCTTCGAGAGACGTCGTCGGACTAAGAAAAACAATCTGAGAGACAACTAAATAAAATTCTGAGATATTGTGCTAAGTACAAAATACCTGACAAAAACGTCTACTCTGTCCTCGCGCGAAATTTTCAAAACTACATTTTGGAAATGTGAGATCTGCTGACATTCGAATGAAAACAGGGAAAACCAGCCGTTCAATATGCAAAATATACCTACTTTAAGATAGAGATGCAGTTTATCTGACAGGTATTTTAATTAGTTAATAAGAAAACCAAGATGACCTCCTTTGTCCACAAAACTATATATTTTCAGAAAACTTATTGTATAAATTTTAAAATGTTGGTAGTATTTTTTTTATGGATACTGTAGTTTGAATTATGAACAAAAATGTGCTTTTTTGGTCAAAAGTGATTTAAAAAAAATTAGCTTATAAACCATGCTTCTGTTTCCTATCAGAATTGTCTGTACGATTGTTGTAACACTGTTCAACCAGAAACAATGCCCCGATGGCGTTTTGAAGACACATATATTGTCAATCATTTGTGAAAATTTCAAAACAAAAGGTCAAAGCGTCTAGGAGCTATTTTTTTTTAAAGTTCTGGGATGTGTACTAAAAAGAAGCTGAGATAATTGCTAATTTGCATAACCATTTACTCAGTAAGAAGTTTGCTAATGCTCATAATTAAAATGGCTGTAACAGTTCCAAATTTAAACGTATTATCGTTTTGTAAAAAGTTAAATATAGTGCATAATAGAGAGATCTCGTCATTTCTTTTTTTCACCGTGTTTCTTTTTTATTATTTATGTGCAGCCTTGCTAAATCTTGCTAAGCATTCAAAAGATAGAATGTTTGCA